TCCATGATGCACAAAGTGCTTAACAATGCAAAACAACAACAAACACACTGCAACAAATTGGGAACAAGGTTGCCAAATATGTCTATCAGTGTCTATGAATATCAGTCTTTAGTTTCTGCTTTGTGCTTTTCATATGTAGGAATTCAAATCGGGTATGTGCTTCGGGAACCTACATGCCATTGATAAATCATAGAATGAAAACCCTTGATTAAGTAATAATGTGGTAAAAGCATCCGAGAAGACATGCAAGTAGACCTTCCTGTCAATGTCATTCATGATTTTGTTGCGACTTTGCGAAGACTGGCACTTCCTGTTGGAAACTCCTATGTAGTGATCAGAGCTGTTGGCTGAGGAATCCGTTTCCCGTCCAACAGCTTTATTCATGCATGTTCATTATTTTCTTGAATCAGCACTTGTGGAAAGTACAGGACTTTGCAGCAATGATGAGAAAATCAATATTGGAAAAGTAACATTTGTAACACTGTTGCCAAAACAGTGGGTTTATGTGGACGTAGGGGGAAAAGAGCTGAGAGTGCACATTTAACTGTGTTCCTCAGATGATTTGCAAAAAGTAAGCTGGGTTTAGAGGACATTTCTGTTATTCTACACAGATGTAAGCTGAAAGCAGACACTTTCTGTTAATTTAATTGTGCAGGCATTCTGGGCTAACCGTTTTCTTTTTAAGATGCCAGGAATTGTTGTTTCTGTGGTGCAATACAAACTACTGTGAATATTTCAGATTAAACCCAAATAAACATCAGTTAAAATAATAACTTTCTCCCTCCATTTGTTGCAATATTAAGGCTACGTCCACACGTACACGGGTATTTTTGAAAATGGAGATTTTCCGTTTTCGTTTTAAAAAAGAATCCCATCCACACGTAAACGCAGAAATGAAGGAAAACGCTGCTAGGAACATGCCAAAGCAACAGGTGGCGATATATTCCTAACAGTGTAGAAATGTTGGCCAATCAGAAGTCTAGAAGCCTCGGTGGGAAAAGTAAACAAAGCTGGGGCATAGAAGCAGAACCGAGTCGTATGTGTGGAGGGACAGTAACTGTGTGTGTATATGGAAGCATTTAAACACTGCAGAGAGTACAAGTAACAGTATTGTAGAAATTAATTTCACCGAAACAATAACGTGGCGCACACTGTGACGTCAAAAAATGCGCACACCTTTGACGCTGCGTTTTCTCAGTTTTTCTCGTCCACACGTAAATGCAAAAACTGAGTTTTTAAAAATCTCCGTTTTCAGTGACCAAAAACGCCGTTTACGTGTGGCCGAAAGGTGCAAACGCATAGAAAAATCTGCGTTTTCAAAAATACCCGGGTACGTGTGGGCGTAGCCTAAGTTAGTAAGCAGAGATGAGCCCACACTACCCTCCTGCCCTGTGGTAATCATGCTATTTTCAAGTGATTTATTCAGATTTTTATTTCCCCAGTGAAATATGAGAGGATCAAATTCTTGGTTCTGGCTCTGAAGAACTCTGTGGAGGTCTACGCTTGGGCACCCAAGCCCTACCACAAATTCATGGCCTTCAAGGTAAATAAACCGACCAGCTAGTTGTTGGTGCTCTTGCTTGTTATTGTGCTCTTTGTGTTTTTTCTTTTCCAAACGATAGCAATCTATCATCTCTGTGTTTTGGCAAATATCGACTGATATTAAGCTGAAAGACTAAGATTTCTGATCTGTGTGTGCCTCAGTCTTTTGGTGATCTGGTGCATAAGCCGCTGCTGGTTGACCTGACCGTGGAGGAAGGTCAGAGGTTAAAGGTAATCTATGGCTCGTGCTCAGGCTTTCACGCCGTGGATGTCGACTCTGGGGCCGTTTACGACATCTACCTGCCCACACACGTAAGAACACAGCTGTAAAATAACGCACGTGCTCGTTTGTTGTATGTGTTAAAAGAGGACTTACTCTATAATGTCTGTTTTTCCTCCAGATCCAGACGAGCATCCAGTCTCACGCAATCATCATTCTGCCTAACACTGATGGCATTGAACTGCTCGTGTGCTACGAGGACGAGGGTGTTTATGTCAACACCTACGGACGCATCACCAAGGACGTGGTGCTGCAGTGGGGGGAGATGCCCACCTCAGTGGGTGAGTAACTGGGTGAAAAGCTACACAAACACCTGCCCTATAATGTTTTCTTGTCTGTCTAGGTCAGTGTTGCCCAGCCGTTTTGCCTCACAACCCTCCAAGAGCTAAAGTGTCCCTGCACCTACACCTTTTCACCTGATTTTTTGTGTGCTTTTTTTGTGTTAATGATTACAAATCATCAACAAGTCGATTGTTTTAGCACATTTATGTTTGACACCTCTGGTCTAGGGATTTAACATTTTCTTTGTCTTGTTTTTAAATAGAGTTAGATATCCGTATACTAACTAAAACATCTCTTCACAGCCTACATTCGGTCTAACCAAATCATGGGTTGGGGCGAGAAGGCCATCGAGATCCGCTCTGTGGAGACCGGTCACCTGGACGGCGTCTTCATGCACAAGAGAGCTCAGCGACTCAAGTTCCTCTGTGAAAGAAATGACAAGGTGAGATTGGCATGTCAGCACCGCTGGCAGTGACCTAACCTACTCGCATGACTCGTGCACATCTTTGGGATTAGTCAACTTTGTGTTTGCTCGATAAAAATAAAACACAAGAAAATCCTCCTCCAAACAAATAAGACTCCAACTTGACTGCAGGCCATCTGAGAAGCATCTTTTAAAATCAAACTGATTTTGTTTACAGATTTTAAGTGATGAAACATGAAAAAGGCTCCATTTACATGCAAACACACGGTGACTACCTACATCAGATGGGCAGGTTAGCTGTGAAGCTAAATCCTGGCATCAAATTTGTTTGCACAATTTCTGTTGACTTAGCTGTGGAAGTAACTTAAGGCCGCTCTAGTTTCTCTTCTCTCTTTTTTGGACTGTTTTTCTCTTTTTGTGGGTCTGTATTTTTGACAGCATGTGCGGTAAATAATGGGAACTTTCGAGTATGGTATGACAAATGAATGAAGAAACTTTTAACCACACAAGTTTTGCTTTTGAATTTTAGATACTTGTGTATATAGGTTAAGGTTAGGTTAAGGTTTTTAACACTGTATTTAATCACCGGCACTTTCAGTTACAACATTTGTGCTCAGATTGTGCTGAGCAGTAAAATCTCACTTTGTCTCCTCAGGTGTTTTTCGCCTCTGTACGTTCTGGAGGCTCCAGCCAGGTGTACTTCATGACTCTGGGCCGAAGCAACCTGCTGAGCTGGTAGAGGTCCACGGCCTGCCCTCTTTCTCCTCCTTCTCCTCATCTTCCTCATTGTCCTCCCCCTCTCTCTAACACTGGATCTCAGAAAACCACCATTGATGTCTTGTCAGCCCTCGGACAACCAAACGAGAACAAACACAGCAACCTACCAGCCGTCTGGAGCAGTCGACAGCAACGCCCTGTAGCTGCAGCCTTGCTGGGTCTGCCTGCGACGCAGAGACAGCCGGTCAAGTCGTCGGTCCCTTCCGTAAAATCAGAAGCGACGGCATAATGAAAACAAAGGTTAATAAATGAAAGGAAGTAGTAATACTGTAAATGTGAATTCAAGAAAAGGGAGGGGCAAGCAACGTTTTGTTTCCCTCTCAGTTTTCTTGGTGCTCATCGGATGCATTGCGATGGGATAGATTTTTGTACCTCTGCATCCTTTCCCGGGTTGGTTAGTAAGCTTGAGGTCTTCTACTACTATTGCTACCGCTATTGTTCTTACTACCACTGCTACTACCTTCTGCAGGTCTGCCTCTTGTAAGGGAGTCCCCCCCTTTGCCCCATGTTCCCACCATCCGCCCCTTCTTGTGAGCGTGGGGCTGGTGGGGCTCTAGAGTGTGTTGTATTAATGCTACAGTAGTGTGTGTGTGTGTGTGTGTGTGTGTGTGTAAATGTACTTCTGTTTGGTCCACCTACTGCTAACATGCTGGTTTGTCCAATGAGCTGGAGGCTCAGTGACAAGCATGAGAAAGGGACCTAATATTGAAGGTTTTTACCACAAAGGTCAGGTCGACAGGACTCAAACATGAGGGTGTGCGTGCGTGCGTGTGTGTGGTTGAAGTATAGTGTTGTATCGGACAGGCGCTTTAAAAAGAAGGGGAGGGCGGAGAGAGAGTTGGTGTAGGTGATGGATTTCAGAATAGTATTTTTTGAATCATTATTATTCCTTGAAGATAAGTGTAACTATGTGGAGTTAAACATGTCTTTTACCTTGTTTTTTTAATCATTCACACACATCCACCTACACAACTTGCTTGCTCTAAAACCACAGAAGTGTAAGGTGTGTCCGTATGAAAAGAATGCAATGCGGGTGTGATCCAAAATATTGAATAAAGTGTCTATGTACAAATAAAGCTTTGGGAACTTTTGTCGTGTCGGACCGGCGGCGGGGAAGCATGACGACCTGATCTTAACTCGAGAAACTTGAACTGCTGTGAATAAACAGATATAACGTGGAGAGAGGGGAAAAAAATCGAGAGATAATGTAGATGAGAAAGTTTAGTACGTGTATGTGTGCGCGTGTGCCGTCAACAGTTCGGCATCGCTTCGGCAAATTTGGGTTTAAGTGGCAGAGAGGTAAACACGTGGTCGGCGGGTTTGTTTTGGCACAGGAGGCGGAGTTCCATCTTCCATTACATGATTTCGACTCATTTCATGCTTCATTTAGAACATTTGTATGTATTCAATGCACTAAGTGTCAAGAATGTAGAAAGACTTATTACTGTGTGGTGGTCCAAGGCATGAGATGACGTTTTTGCTTTGTATCTTGTCACGAGTGATCAATCCTAGGTGTTCGGTTTTGGAGTCGAAGCTGCGGCGGCGGCAGCAGAGCCTCTGCGTCAGATGTACATATTTCGATTCCGTATTTGTTTCGCAGCCTTCGGCAATCTGCGCGTCGAAGCTGAGGAGCGTTTCTCGCGGCTTTCCCGTTCGAACGAGAACACGCGCGCCTTTATTGATTCAGCACTCGGACTCTGGATTTCAGTGTTACTGTGATGAAGTGTCTCCAAACAGGCAACACTGAGCAGAGATTTTTCCCTCACTCGGCTGTTTGTGAAGGAACTGACGAGAGAATCCCCATTTTTCTTTTTTTTTATAGGAAGGAATAGTTAATATTTTGTGCCCCTCCCTAACCCCCTCATGTCCCACTCCAGCTGTTATTGAAGTTCCCTGTATGCGAAAGACTGAGCAACAACCTTCAGCATTGACGATCTTTGCCCCGCTGGATTTTTTCCTTCCTTTTTTGCAATGATTCTCATCGTTTGCTCACAGGAAGTGCAAGGGGACAGTCCGATCTATGACGTCATATCCAAACACACCTTTTGTCAGGACACAAACAAGCTTATCTTGGGTGTTTTCCCTCCTTGACGATAAGGTTACTGCTGGTCACTTAGTTTATGTCTCTGTATGGAGAAGCCGTTCGGGCCCCAGTGCTTTTGTCTGAGGTCTGCGTGTGCAGTAGTGCTCGGTGTGTGTCTCTTCTTGCATCAAGGCCTTGATGAGTGGCTGTATTGAATTCATGAAAATAATTTGTGGCTATTATCAATATTCTTATTGATCTAAAGAAAGAAACGAGCTCTTCGGCCGATTGAGACGAATCAGTCGCTTGCAGGCTCGTGTTGGAAAAAGTGCCAAGAGGGCAGCATTTAAAACGTGTAAACCTGTTGTTATAAGAACCACTACTTGGAAATCCTTTCTTTCAAAAAATAAAAACAACAAAAAAACTTAAAAAATCACTCGAAGCATTGTGTATTCTTAAGTTTTAGAGCTAGTTGAGAAGCTTAACAATAGTTTCTGTTGTTTCTGTAAGTCTATGTAAACGTAACTATGCGACTGCGGTGGTTTAATATTATTACACTCACCTTAGGTGGAGAAACTGTTTACAGAGGCGATGTTTTGTTACACTAATGTGCATCATGGTATTTATGTTTGAGAGCATAATGCATCTTAGTTCTTTAACTCATACTTTCTGCTTTTTGAGCCCACTTTTTATTGGATATTTTAAATTTTTCGTTAGTTTTTATTTATTTTTCTTTGTCATTTCTCCCACCCCTGCTTAACTTTTTCCACAACAAAGAACACACGTGTTGTTCATTTCAGGTATTCACACAACGCTGCTTCAACATGGAAACATTACAGTAACGTTCCTTGCAGGCTTGGACGTGAGGCGACGTGTTTTTTCCTCTGCTGTTTCTGCCGTGCTACTCTAACTTATGTCCTCTCTGTGTATGACAGGAAGTCATGTATTTTCCTGAAAGTTTTTTGTTTTGTTTTCTTTGAATAAACTTTAAAAGTAATTTTAAAACAACAATGTTGTGCCCTTCCGTCTTTGGCCTCTCTGTGATGTTTGCTCCCCAAGTTACACGCACGCACATATTAAAAATAGACATGTTGCAACAGGTGTTGGCCAACAGACCAAAATGGAACACATCAGTTGCACGTATGGGGCGATTTCGACAAATGCTTTGTTTGTGGAAATTGTGCATATTGTTTTCAGACAAAATTACCATTTCCGCTCAGCTACACGATGCAATGCACTAAAAAAAAAGCTTGGATTATATTGATTGTTCCTTTATTCACGACACGGTAAAGTCCAGTTATCTTACTGGCATGTTATAAATTCTGAATTCTTGTTGAGCTCAGCTAAAAAGGGAAGTAATAAGAAAAGGTAATTTTCTCAGAATATCTTGTGCAAGAGGACATTCATTCACACGAACAGCTCACTCTCTGAAAGATAACAGCTTTTTAAATTATTTATATTCAATTCAATTTTATTTATATAGCGCCAAGTTATGACAGTCCCCTCAAGGTGCTTTATATTGTAAGGTAAAGGAACTACAGTAATACAGAGAAAACAACAATCGGACAACCCCCTACAAGCAAGCACTTGACGACAATAGGAAGGAAGGAACCTCCTGCAGAACCAGACTCGGGTTGGGGCCGATTGGGGCTGTGTGAAAGTGTTATTTTCTGTGCAATCACATGCACCACTCAGTGCATTTAGGCATATATCAAGATGTATTACATATCATGACTTCCTGCTGAAGCTGAACATTAGAATGGCAATGTTATTAATGAAGCTTATGCGCAAGTTCAATAAGGAAGATCTCAGAGGCTTTCCCACGTATACAACATTCACCCATATACTTGTTTTTATGTCTGAGTGCTTACTGCATCACAGTAAGACACATTCACACTCTGATACTGCAGTGTTGAACTCCCATACCCAGTCACCGCAATGATGCTGAAAGTCAAAAGTGAATGGCCAGACTGTTTTGAGCCGATAGGAAGACAATAATAATAATAATAATGCATTCATCTAAGAACTGGAAACTAAGACTTCAGTTCTCACGGGTTCACTAAAAGTTGAAAATTGGAAGAATGCTGGTCAGCTGAGTCTGCTGGATGGTAGGTGCATCGGTGTGGGTGATATTTTCCTGCAACACTTAGGCCAGGGGTGTCGAACTCCAGGCCTCGAGGGCTGGTGTCCTGCAGGTTTTAGATCTCACCCTGGGTCAGTACATCTGAATCAAATGATTAGTTCATTACCAGCCCTCTGGAGAACTTCAAGACACGCTGAGGTGGTAATTTAGCCATTTGAATCAGTTGTGTTGGATCAAGGACGCATCTAAAACCTGCAGGACACTGGCCCTCGAGGCCTGGAGTTTGTTGTTGACCACGTCATGCCGTAATGAGCACAGTGTACTCCTTGTCTGATGGCTGCTTTCAGCACAAAGCTCAAATCTTCTCAACTTCACACTACTCCGGGTTTGGGGTCAGCTTTAATTTAGTTTAACTGCTCTGGCTGACTCCGTGCAACCTGTAGTTTGTCTAGTTTGTCACACTGGGTGATGAAACAATGGCATTTATTGTCTGTGTCGTTTCCTGTGAGCAGCAGATTTTACAGCTCACGGGGAGTCAAATCTCACCTTCTTAGATGTTTTTTTTTTTAATGTACAAATGTCAGTTTACATACTTGGTTCACAGATGGTAGCCCTGTAATAATAAATAATAAAGGTGATAAACATGAAGACAATTAAACGTGTTTTTAAGCTCACTTCTTGGTTCTGCATTTTTTTCTGTGCCCCCAAAAGGAAGTGCTCTTTTCAGTTAAGCACGACATTGTCAATTAATATTCAGCTGATCAACAGGTTCAACTGGCCTGTTGCTGGATGTTGAGCACCGGACAGGAAAGCCAGCGTGTCAAACTGTTTAGTCATCTATCCAGTACTGCTATCTACAGATGCTGAGGCGAACTCGAAAATTCCCAAAACACGCAACATCTTCTGCTTCCTCAAAGTCCGGTCATCAAAGGAACGGCATGTTCTGTCTTGGTCTCCTTTTAACCTGCATGTGTTAAAGATACTGGCTAATTTGGATATATGCGTTTGTGTGTGAGTGTGTGTGTGTGATAAAGGCCTGTGCATAGCTGTGCATTATCTGCCCCGCTCCTGTCTTCTGATACCAAGTGTGTAATAAATATTGTTATTTTTGCTGGATAAACTATTTGGAAAAAAGCTACAGCAACCAAAACAAGTGTATCTCTGGCCTACATGTCAAAGCTCATTGTTTGCATGTTTATTCATTCCATTCATTCCCCCAACCGGTCGCAGCAGATGGCCGCCCCTCCCTGAGCCTGGTTCTGCCGGAGGTTTCTTCCTGTTAAAAGGGAGTTTTTCCTTCCCACTGTC